CTGGGGAATTCTGGGAGTTGAAGTCCACACATCTTAAAGTTGCCAAGTTTGAAAAGCACTGCTGTAGGCTATAATAATCTACTCTAAGCTGTAAAAACTGCAGCTGAATTCTGCATCCAGTCCTATTGAAATGAAGCGTATCCTTCATTTAAATTATACAGGGTCTTCTACAGACATAGGTCCCAGTAGATTTTGTTTTGGGGCTTATGTATGGAAAAACTAGTAATCTAGTTTTTACTGTTAAATTTTGGGATAAGCAGTCCTCCAATTTGTTACTGACTGGAAAACACATTTAAAAGTCATTGTAAAGTTCTACATGACTATTGCTGAAAGCTTTCTTTTACATCAAAATATGAACATAGTTGAAAGATTTCTGATGAGGCAATAAACAATGTTGCAGCCACTGTATGGTCAATAATTTATGTTTGTTAACAGAATATATAGCATACCTTATAATTTACCTTGCATCTTGTTCATATCAGTACACAGAAAGGAACAAGCCAGATACCACTGGCATGTTTCTGGCTGTGAATTCCTGCTGTGAATTCTAGGAACTCCAGTTTAATAGCATGACATATAGAGTGTCCCCCTATAATCAGGTATGCAGCATTTTCTATTATAACATCATGATACAACTTTGCATAGGAAAAATTACTAGTTGCTACATATTTTTAAACAGCATACATTAATAAAAGAAATTGTGACTTGAAACCAGAAAATGTGTATGGTAGAAGGGAGAAATTATCCTCCCCCAGAATATTTGTTTTAAATGTCAGGAGGATCTTATATAACAGTATGGAAGATGGCTCTAAATAAGTCTCTCTTCTGCCTTCCTGCCAGTGAGTACTGCTGCTGTGTATATGGAAGAACAACTTTCTCTAGTTCTTACTACTGGTTTTCAAAATTTCTATTTAAATTGGTGTCTGTTATACCTTTTACAAGAAAATTCACTACTCAATTTATTTAAAATAAACTGTAATTGCAAAAAGTGGTGAAACAGCCAGGGCTTTGTTGCCCCAAATAATAGGCATTCTGAGACAGTTTTGGAGACCAATTGTGTGCTTTTATACCCAGTTTCTTATAGCACATTGGTAATTCATATCACACTGCTGTTAAACACTCTTTGGGAGTAACTGAATTAAGGTGTTTTCACTTTCACTGCTGCTGTCTTACATACTGTTTATTTTTGCTTAAGTTGCTATAGCCCAAGGTGGAGCAATCCAGATCTCTAATCCAGCATCTGATGGTGTTCAAGGATTACAAACATTAACTATGACAAATTCAGGAGCTCCTCAACCTGGTGCTACAATTGTGCAATATGCAGCTCAAACACCTGATGGCACGCAACAGTTCTTTGTACCTGGGAGTCAAGTTGTTGTCCAAGGTAAATTGTTCATTTTTTATTTATTTTTAAACAGATAATTCTATTTGTTTTCAAGATCTATAACTTGCTTCTCTGTTTAAAGAAGTTCTTAAATGGGTTACAGCAAACAATCTCCTGCAAATGGTAAGAATGCCAGGGTGGTGTAGTGATGAAAGAGTTGGTCTAGAAGCGGGAAAACCTAGATTCAAATCTATTCTCTTTCTGACAGGGCTGCATGTACCCACATGTCCTCTGAATCACATTTTCCCCTTCCAGTCCAGGTTACTGCCCTTCACGTTAAAGGGAAGAAGATCTAGTTTAAAGTGTTTAAATGCAGGAGACTTGATGTTCATAATGACACACTTCACACATTTTTCATTCATAATGAAATATACTGATTTTTGGCTTAGTGTATTGTATGAACCCATGGCTTTTTGCGATATGTTTCAGATTTTTGTTAAATTGAAAAAATAGTAACTTGAAATTCAAGTTCATCAGTGTTTTAAGAATAGTTCACACATTGCACACAAATGAGGCAGATGTGTGCTCCAGCACTTAATTTTTTATAAAGTTTTCTAACAACCTTGATTATACCTGCTGGTATATGTTATCAGTGTATAACACTTTCATACATTTTATGGGCTACTTCTAATCTTGAACGTTTTACTATAATTGATCTTTAGATCTTTTGTGAACTGCTTAGCATTAGGAGAGTATCCATTATTAGTTACAGCACTAAAGTTGTGATTGAGTGCTAGTGTGAATACTTTGGAGGATAAAGTTAATTATTGTTACAGAAACCTTATGTGAATGGTGGATAAGGTTTCTATGTGAATTGTTACACACAAGCCCAGTAAATGGGTTTATATTTCTTAACCATTCTGGAATGGCCTCTTTTTTAAATTGAACAATCTAAACAAATTGAACAATTA